AGTCTGTTCCTGAAGGATGGCACCTCGGGGAAGGGACCCAGGCTGGAGCAGTTTGTGAAGAACTGCAGCCTGTGGGAAGGACTCACATTGGAGAAATTCATGGAGAACTGTCTCTCGTGGGAGGGACCCCACGCTGGAGCAGGAGCAGAGTGTGAGGAGTCCTCCTCCTGAGGAGGAAGGAGCGGCAGAAACAACGTGTGATGAACTGACCACAACACCCATTCCCCATCCCCCTGCACCGCTCGGGGGGAGGTGGGAGAGAAATCGGGACTGAAGTTGAGCCCAGGAAGAAGGGAGGGGTGAGAGGAAGGCGTTTTAGGATTTGACTTGATTTCTCATTATCGTACTCTGACTTTGATTGGTGATAAATTAAACCAATGTCCCCAAGTCGAGTCTGTTTTCCCGAGATGGTAATTGGTGAGTGATCTCTCCCTGTCCTTATCTCTCCCATGAGCCTTTTGTAATATCTTCTCTCCCCTGTCCAGCTCAGGAGGGGAGTGATAGAGCAGCTTTGGTGGGCACCTGATGTCCAGCCAAGGTCAACCCACCACAATCAGCACCCTCCTGTATGACAGTCATTTATGCATCAGATGGGCTAAAATAATTTGGAAACCTGAAAATATGACATAACAAAATCTGATGAGGGAAACTGAAGGCAAGATGAAGTATTTCAGGTTGAACAGACCTAAGCTGTCCAACCTTCTATGCATGTGATACTTCAAGCTAGACTTTTGGCGATTCATTAGAAGAAATTATTATGTTTTTGTTTAAGGTACTCTCCAAATCCAAGGAACAGTGCTCGGAACTATTTAGACAAAAAGAACAAACATAGTAGCAAATATCTTCCGAACTGACAATGTATTAGAAATGGGTGACCCCCAAAGCTGTTTGGAATTGCAGAGACCTCATCTATTATCCTTTCTCATAGCATCAAGCACAGCTTCTTACCTGAATTCATCCTGTTAATACTTCCTCCCAAACCAGATGCCTTCCCAGGGAATCCAGAACTGGGCCAGGGATTAGACGGAACAGACTCTTTGTTTGAAGTGGAGACTATGCCACTCCTTGTGCTTATTCCTATTGCAGAATGCAAAAATTACCATGCTGAAATCTCTGTTGTTACACAGGCTTGCATTCATTCCACCTGATGCACAACCTTAGAGCAGATGTCCAGTTCAGTGAATTTAACCAAAACCTTTTTGCTCTTAACATGGCTCTGGGTTAGTTCCTACCCTCTCATAAAGCAATGCTATGACTAGGCCCTAGTCCTGCAACAATAATAGTCTTAAGTAGTTCCACTAGCATCAATGGCTGCTTATGTCAAGGGACGGGATCCTTACATGAAGGCCACAAATGTTCTCAAGTCACAGGAGGTGAAGCTTGCTACCTAACTGAAATCTCTGCTTTGTGTCAAACATGGCATTTTACAGCTTTTAGCCTGACAGTGACCAGATAACCTGAGAGTCAATTATGGTAGATTACATTTGTCATAATACTGTACTCTTCTTCGGTGTACCTACTGAAACCACAGATTGTGCACACAGTTTGCAATGGAGTTCATATGTCACATATTATTTGTATTTAATATACATCCCATATTTAAACAGGGTACCTAACACGCAAGGATGCGCTCACAATTCATGGTAAAGCAAAAGGAGGCTTGCAATCAATGTGTTTTACAACCTTCTCTAGTAATACAACTTTTAGCTACCAAAACTCTACTATAGTTATCCAATTTGGGTCACCGACGTTAATTGTTTCAGGAAAAAAGACTGAGTTTACCATCACAATACCTTCTAGTTTACTTAATTAATTTTGAAGTATTAGTACTACAAGTGAATGAACAGCTAACACTGCCTTTATAAACAGAAATTATGAAAGAGGATACATTTATTTTCAGCTCATTTTAAATACAGACAGATATGCTGCCCACCTCCTGTACTTTATTCTGCCCCAGTGCTGGTTTCAGTACAGCAGAGGTTAACATGAAGATAGGCATGCAATTTCTCGATAGAGTCATGCATTTGTATTCCATTTAACTCCAAACTACAGCACAGTATACTCACACTATTAGTTAGCTTCTATTGTTCATGGTATTATATACTCATGAGGTAAATGTAAGGCACTTTCTTTTCCAGTCTAGAAGACCAGCCTCATCCTTCTTAGGGAAACAGGGTGTAGCCTGGCACATTAACCAACATTTTCTAACACACTTCAAAGTATAAAAGAGTATCCAGCAGAAGGAATAAGTACCAATAATTCTGTCCCCTTCTTGTAACCAGGATTTATCTCAGCTGTTAGACTGCTAGAATGTAGTTTGTATCATGGCCATCTACACTAGCAAAGGTCTTGCTCTCCTCATTTTCTTTAAGCAGTAACCCCACTCCTCAAGCTCAAAGGATAAAGCCTAAATGTACCAATGACTATTTCATACTGCTGTTGGAATAAGAGGAAGAAAAAGATATAAGCATTTTTTACTAACCAGGTAGATACCTAGAATGTCTCAAGTAGTGCTGCTTTGCTGCAGAAACTCGCAATGTGGGAGTGTCCTCACGTGGAAAGGTCGCATGGGAAGGTGCACTGCAGCCAGAACCTACAGCATCCGAAGGCTTCAGGTCCAAAATGCTTTCAAATCTATAACCCAAAAATTGCTACACTTAGTTCAATTCTTATAGCATATGTTTATCCACAGTTGTCCTTCTCATTTCCTTCCCATCTCCAGGAATCATTTCCTCATACTGTGTTTGCTACAGCATAAACACAGAGAACAGGGAATATTTTCAGCCTGAAACCATACAAGTAACCCTGAAAATCAGATTTGTGCTTCTAGTTCCCTTATATATTTCCTTTGAAGTTTTTATAAATCAATCAGTAAGTTTTCTCTACTGTGTATGATCCATGGAAACTGCAGTTTAAAGTCACCAAAAACATTTTATATGCATGAAACATGTCAAAACGGTTCATACATGAAAATTAATTCAAAGATTAACTTGGGAAAACTTAAGCTAAGCATCATTTTCAGTGGGGAAAAATGAACAAGGAATTGTACAGAGGATGCATTGTCCATCAGAAAAGGTGTCTGAAATTCACAGTTCAGCATTCAAAAAGCAGCCAAGCCAAAGCAGGAGAGAAACAAGCTGCATGCCCTTTACTGGCCTGGATATATGTTTCTAGATCCACAGAAAGCATAAAGAGCAACATTA